TTTCTTCCCATCTAATGAACTTTATATATTTTCTGAACAATTTTAATGAGCTAATACAAAAAAAATTCACAATACTATTAAAAAGACACTTTTGTCTTATCAAATTATATGATTTAATGCTCTCAGTGGCTGAAGCTTTTTTCTACTGTTTTTAAATATTTTTCTTTATACTAACTACTACAAGGCATTGAGGGCATTTTATGTTAAAATACTTAAAATATGGTGCTACATTCTTGTTGATAATGTACATAATCTACAAAAATTATTAGTGTATAAATTTATGTCTTGGATCGTGCATAAGTGTTCAATTACTAAGTTCCTGAAATTATATTTGATGACTTTATATTCTTATCCATAAAAATAAATATTACTGACTTCTAAAAAGTATTATTACGTGTCAAGAATAAAGATTCATCTGCTACAACATATAATTCTAAACTTACATTTCTTGTACCTTAGCCACTGTGTTTATTCAAATTGAAAATATTTTTCTTTATCAAGCCATGTGAATGTCAAAAGGCATGAAATTAAATACTTAAAATTTGCTTTTGATCACTTGCATCTTGCACTGTTTTTTTTTAAATTTTTTATAGTATTACCATTAGATTAGATATTTTAATTTAAGCAATACTTGTTTGTTATTTTATGTAATAAAATCATTAAGAACTTGATGAGCAGTTATGCAGCATAAGCAACATCTTTAAAGGGCTTCTAATTAGGTTTGTATTCATAGAGAGTAAGATCAGTGCTCCAAATCTTTAAAGGAATTTTAGAACTTTGGCTAATATACATATACTTAAGTTTCTCTGTCTCATTTGTTAGTGTACAACTTGTAAAAAGGAGCATTTGTTATTAATGCCATAGTAACATGTTTATTTGCGAAAATTGAGAAGTTTAACAGTCATTGACTGGCACATACTTGATTTTGTTGATAGGTTGAGAAACCTGTAACTGAGGGTCTTAGTCACCGTACGCGAGATCAATGGGAGATTGACCGTTCTTCTCTCAAATTTGTGAGAAAATTAGGCCAGGGTCAGTTTGGAGAAGTATGGGAAGGATCATGGAATAATACAACTGCAGTGGCAATAAAAACACTCAAACCAGGAACTATGGATCCAAAAGATTTCTTGGCAGAAGCACAAATTATGAAGAAACTTCGTCATGCAAAATTAATTCAATTATATGCTGTTTGTACCTTGGAAGAACCTATTTATATAATCACAGAACTGATGAGGAATGGTAGCTTGTTAGAATATTTACAAGGTAACAAAATTATATTGTTCAATTATTTATCTTAGTATATGATCTTATATCTATCTACTAGTTTGTATATGTATATATATTATTATTTTGTCCTAATAGGCAAAGGAAAAACATTAAATCTACAACGATTAATAGATATGGCTGCACAAATTGCAGCGGGTATGGCGTATCTTGAATCACAAAATTATATTCATAGGGATTTAGCTGCTCGTAATGTTTTAGTAGCAGAATTAAATGTCGTGAAGATTGCAGATTTTGGATTAGCTAGACTGATTAAAGAAGACGAATATGAAGCTCGAATAGGAGCGCGGTTTCCAATTAAATGGACTGCACCTGAAGCTGCAAATTATAGTAAATTCAGCATTAAATCCGATGTATGGTCATTTGGTATTCTTCTGACAGAATTGGTTACTTATGGTAGAATACCATATCCGGGTAAATACGTTTTCAAACTAAAATTTTATATTTTTTATAAAAATTGAAACAGATATTTAACTATTTTTAATGTTATAGGTATGACAAATGCTGAGGTTCTGCATCAAGTAGAACATGGTTATAGGATGCCATGCCCACCTGGTTGCCCAACTGCATTGTATGATATTATGTTAGAATGTTGGAATAAGGACCCCATGAAGAGGCCAACTTTCGAAACATTACAGTGGAAACTGGAGGATTTCTTTACTATGGAAGGCTCCGAGTATAAAGAAGCATCTGGATATTAAAGTACTAAAACACTTCATAGTCTTTGGTTATAACATATTTCGTTACAATATCGGCAAGATATGATAGATATTCTGTATGAATGTACAAGATAAATGCAGATTATTATAATTAACAATTGTATTCAGAGTACGGATGTTTGTGATATTTGAGAGTATACTTTATACTAAATGGTAGTCTTCTTTTTACAAAGTATACATGATATCATTTATTTTTTTAGCAATATGATTATGCTGCTGCTTTTGTTACATATTCTGGCTGCCATAAAATTGTCGAACAAGTTTGTCAATTCATGAATAATTGTACACAAATGAAAATTGGAACTTCAATAATTTTCGAGAACAGTGATGTAGTTTAGATTTTATTTTAGAAAATTATATTCTGAATGTGTAAATGTCGGTATTAATAGTGGTTTTGGACAATATTTATGGGAGTTAACATTCTTAAACTTAAATTTTATTGGTTATAAATTTTGACGCGGTAATACAATTGTCAAAAGTATTCCACAAATTTCCAATCAGGATTCAATATTTATATTTACAGTAAGATGGATTATTATCCACTTTGACTCATCTTTCCTTTTATTTTTATTTTTTATTATTGTTAATTTTTTCTATTAAGAACTTGAAAGTATAACGCATTTTATGCTGAAAATTTACGAAAGAATGTAGTGCATTAAAAAATCACAAGTGGCCTGCTAAGCCAATGTAAATGTAAGATAAATTTTTAAAATATTTATTGTTATTCATTTTATAGCTTTTCTGGGTATGTTAACTCTCAATTATTCTTGAAAAGAGCACACATAACTAGAAGCAATGCATCTAATCTAAAAATAATTCCTAACTGTTCATAACAAATGTAGTATGTGTGTAAGATAACATAAGAAAGTATACAAGGGTATTAATATTAATATTATTACAAGCATGTAAACTATCAATGCTTGAATTTTTTATTTAATAGTATAAAGTATGTTATAGCTTTAGCATTGCAAAATTAGTATTAACCATTCACTTGATCAATTCAATTTACTTGTTATTTTCAAACTCTTGAATTTTTCATTTTTATATATTTGTATGTTAGAGATTATGTTATTATTAATTTATTAGGTTGACAAATTATGTCTTTTATCAATATTTAAAAAATTTAGAACTTCTCCATTAAGGGATACAAAATTATGCAATAATAATAGTATCCTAGCTTATTTACGTTTGCATTAATGTTTATATCATGCCGTATTTATTAATATTTACTTTGTTTTTTGGAGAACTTCCACTATTTCTATATAATATGTACTTTTGTAAAATCATATGTAAAAAGAAGTTTATCTCATTTATGAAAAGACATTAAATATTTGTAAAATGAATACTTAGAATTTGTAATATGGTTTGCTTTTTATACAGATGGATATACACAAAAATTTGTCATAAATACAAAAAAAATTTATCTAGTCAGAGACCACTACTTTAATGTGAACATTTTCATAGTGTTAAAGACATTTAAACAAGTTTGTTCATAACCATAAGACATACTGCCAAATAAGTATGAGGAAACAACTATATTGCTGTTATTATATTTAGAAAAAATAATTTGAAGAAAAAAAAATAAAATTATATAACGACGAAGTATATACCAATAATTAAATCAAGAATAACATATTGCTTAAAATTATGTATAGAGAAACTTTAACCGTTTCTGTGGTCATCTGATGATTAATTAAAAGCATTTTGTTGTATTATTATTTCAAGTAATTATATCACTGATAGTAAATAGTATTAATATTGATCGTAGTAAGAGTTAAAAAAAATCATTTATATAGGATGTCAGGTAATTTTGTACAAAAATAAATTTTTATATGACATA